GGGAATTCAGAAATCTAATAATGAAATAATTTTCATTAATATAAGCTACAAGGAGAGCTCACAAGTTGTTAATGACCTATTTTTACTGTATCGACCCAATACGTACGTGCAAAGACAGCAAAATCCTGTGTTTACGCAAGTGCTGCTCCAACAGAAAGGAACTCCATAGGCCTGCGTCCAAAGCGCGCTCAGTAGGAATGTGATTGTCCCCATTTACAGCAGTAAAGGCTGATAAGCGTAGAAATGCCAGCTCTACAGAAAGAGGAGATGAGTCTTCTAGAACTTGGTTTTTGTAAGGGTCAAACGTGCACCCAGATTGTGCCACCTCTCACAAGGTTTTTAGGTGCATCATTTAACTCTGGCCTTTTAGGTGGCTTAACACACAGGGCAGGTGTTAAAGTGAGGAACCGGTTTTAATCCTCAGGCATTTAGGAATACAGATTTAGAGAGAACCGTTGACAAGAATTCCTAGTGCCTGAAGAGGGAGAACAGTTTCATGACAAGAAATTCAAATATGCCTTCTAAAACTGCATTTCAGCTGAAGCAGATCCAGTAAAGAAAACATCTCACCTGGCCAAGATAGCCCTCACAGTGAGCCGGACCCAGGAAGCAGAGGGTTCCAGGCACACTGGCCTGCCGGATCTCAGCGTAGCTCTGCCAAGGCAGAACAGAGAAGTTCAGGCTAGGGGGGTCCTCGTGGGTCTGAAATCGATCTAGTGATCAAGGAGACTGGTGGCATGTCTGAGAGAACTAGGGAGAATTATTTTCCCACAGTGTTTTCATATGCGGGCATTTGGGTTTTTCATGAATGATGTTACTAAAGGCACTTGTGATGCAATCTTTTTAATGAGCCTGATGATCTTTTTATTAGGTTTCCTGTTCTCTGTCTTGTCATAGTTAGCAGATATTTCAGGAACTTAATTATCTTGGAAAGCTATTTCCTTTGTTTTTAACTCAAACCTGGCTGAAATTCCCAGTTAGTGGTGAGGTGGAACTGGATGACGTGCAATGCTGCACAGAGGGTGTGATTGTACCGGGATTATTTGTGTATGAAACCATAGTGAAAGCACAAGAACCTGAAAGCTCCCCTCTGCTTACAGGAATGCATTGATTCAATTCATGTGAAGAGCTCCTGATGTACTTGTAAATTTAGCTGACCATGTCTTTTACTTTGTACTCAGTTGGATTTTCCAGTTCCCACTTCTCACACAGGAAAATGCTCGGTATACAATTCTGACATAGGGAATAGCTTGTGGCATTTCAAACTTTGCCACATGCAGACCAAATTAGTGGAAACTGCTTGAATTCATGTCAATAGGATCAAGATCGTATCTTCAATTGATTCTTCATTGTCCAAATTGGTAATCATGCCCTGAATGTGCTATGGGATCTAATTCCTTCCTCTGAAGATGGGTGTAATTAAGATATAAACACAGAAAGAATTCCACAGTACTGTCTGGAAGTGACTTATTTGCAGGGAATTATCTCATTCCCTTGGTAGGTCTAATACCTTATACTTGGTGTCCCGTGATGCCTTTGCAAGGGGTACATTATTCCACCCAAAGTAAATAAGTACCCAGGTTGGGAAGCACCAAGTGGCTTCCTCCAGTTGAGAGCAAGACTCTGTTTTGCAAGAGTGCTCACATGATTTCCACGTTTTGGCAGCGAGGTCCTCTTTGGTTTAATCTCACATTCCGGATAGCCTTGAGGGGGATGAACTTGGAATGAGTGCTGTCACACAGGCACTGGAAGCTTTTCCCCTCTGTCATTGCCAGGGCCTTACCTGTAGAAAAAAAGCAAGTTATGGGAGGAAAATGAACATCATCTCTTGCTCCTGTGAAGTAAAGAGTATTTGTTCCCTTCTGTCAGCGTTATTCTTGTTACTCAGCTCCTATGATGTGCTGAGAACTTCGAGATAAAATTAAGTTACATTTTCGCTGTTGGCGTGCAAAAGCATGTGAAATTAAACTTATTCCTAAGTGAGAATACTCAGATGTTTTCACAGTGCATTTGTGGCTGGCCAAATTTTACACCTAAACTGCATCCCTTGACTAAAATAGCCTAACATCACATGTCCACGTATTGTTGACAAGTTTCTGCCATGATCGTCTGCTCATAGTCTTTATTCTTTTCTGCAAATTCCATGGCCCTTCCTTTGAGGAAGTGCTTTCATCAACCGGCTTACCAGGAGTAGAAGTACAATGAGGAGAAAGTTGTCATTTGGAAAAGAGGAGTTGTATGAACACGTTGAGAAAAAAGGTCCTCTTTGAATTCAAACGTTCCTTAAAATCTAGGCTGAGACATCTATTACAGCATAGGACTAAAGTAATTTTCTGATGGAAACATATTTTACCCTTGGAAGCAGCCACGGCATCCTAACAGATGCAAATACGAATGATACTTGTAACTTCTGAATGACAGGATATTGAAGATGCCCATCTCTGGCAAAAAGTCACCATTAACACAGCACAAGCCCTCTTGGGTATATGTATCCGTTGGCTATGTGAGTGCTAAGTAATCATTTTCTTACCTCCTGACCCCACCATGAAGACCAAGTAGCGAACCAAAGCAGCAGCAGCAGATCTGCCATCCGTTGCTGTACGGAAGTCTGGTTGACCAGCGTCCGGCTCTGCTTGCTTTCACAGTAGGTTTTATCTGGGAAGTGTCTGACAACAGGAGTTGCAATAGCACCTGGTTAAAATAAGCACTTGGGAACTTACTGTTTTCTAATCATATGCGTTCAGAGTAATCACAGGTGTTTGTGACAGAAGATAAACACATGTCCTAAGTGAAATCATTTGTATTGTTCACTCATTGGGATACTGGATAGTCTGATTTTTGTGAGGTGGAAAAAGGTGATCTCAAGGAAAGAAACTGGCCCAGATTGTGAGCCGCTAAAGTATGTTGCCCATATGAATTTCAGTACTAAAATTAAGAAAGCAATTGGGTTTTGAAAAGAAGGAGCCTGCCAAAGGAGAGCCTTGGTATTGTATGGAGAGGAGATGGTGGCCATAAACAGTGTCTGGCTTTTGCTCGGCAGGGAGTGGGACAATGTTTTGGGTACGTTGGCACACAGAATTAACTAGATCTGCTTTCATTGTTCAGTGTAAAAATAGTTTTCCAGAAGAACTGGGAATTTCATGGAGTCTGACTTCAGCTTCGAAGGGAGAGTATCAGCAAAGCAGAAACAGCATGGAAGATCAGGTAGTCATCGTCCAAAGAGCTGCAGTGCTTCTCTCAGCAGTCTCTGAGAGCACCAAAGCAGGGCTTGGGAGCATGAGGGTTCTTGTGTTCCTAAGAAAGGCATGCTGTGAGGGCACACAGGACCAAAACGCGATACTTCATCGTTTCTAGCCAGCCTCTGAATCATGTCTCACCTATGGGAGAAGAGCCCTCCTGTAGCCATGATTCAGCTCCCACCTCTTCACTGAGATTTTGATGGTTATAAAGGCAATACGCTTACCGTGCCTGTACAGCAGTAAAGTAGGTGCCAGTCCCTTAGGATGCACATATACTTTTATTGACACACATCTTCCCACCTCTCCCCATTCCTGGCTGATATTTCTGACATGCTTGCCTCCAAACTAAGTTTCTGAAAGACGCCAGCTTGTAAAAATCACTTGGAAAATAGGAAGGCTTAGACAGGTAAGGCAAGTCTGGACAAACCCTCTCCCCCTGAGAACCTTTCTCTCCTTTCCATGCTGAGGATGAGGTCTCTCAGGCTGTAGAGCAGTTCTGTGGGACAGTGGCAGCGATAGGGACAGGGGTCAAAGTGGGGTTTGAAGAGTTATCAGTTACCATCCTGCACAAGGTCTTGCTCAAACAAAAACCAGAGCCTCCCTTTTTACCTTGCACTGTTAGCAAACATGAGCTGTTTGTGCAGAACATGGAGTGGATCCTTAGTGGAAAAGGCTGAAGCAAAACAACTATCAAAACATTTGCTCAACTTTCCCATTTTCTCAAGTGTTCACTGCTTCTGCTCCAGTCTGTCCCTTGGAAGTCTCTGTGTCACAGGCAAATGTGTGTCCATACAATCAGGCTTCCTCCTGATGCAGTCCTCCCTCCTCACTGCAATTCAGGAGGATGCTCAGTGACCTCCATCATGTTATCAGATTTCCCTGCTTATTCAGGTGAAGGAAAAACCTTGTTCAGTGCCAGGTTCTCAGCTGATGAGCTGTCGGAGCACCTCCACCTCTATGGCCTTGGAGTTTCTGTGACCAACCATTAGTCATTCATTACTTTCTATCTGTGAATTTGACCACCCGGAGCCCTGAAAACACCAAGTCTGACAAGAAAAGAGGAAGAAAGTAGATAATTTTTATAATTCCTCCTACTGGAAACCATCTGAATACACCAGAGGCCGTAATTTACTGTTGCAATAAACCACCCCTTGCCCTTTGGTGAACCCATCCCATGGTGGATGAAAGAAAATACATCCTTTTTTTCCGTTCTGTATTTTAATACAGAAACTAGTAACACACAATACTGAAGTGAAAACATCTCCACAAACATTTATTGGGCGCATATCAAATATGTTCTGCATGCATAAATAATGACATCCTTATGCAAAAGTAAAAATAAATATATAAATAAATAAATAATGTGCCTCCTTCTAACCAAAAGATGGCATTAAAATGTATCTTTAGACCTTCACAACAGTAATTCACAATAAACAGTATCTTGACTATGGTGACACAAGCCCCAGTGTCTCAGAATTTTGATGTCCTAACTCTGCAGGCTCCCCTTTTCGGTCACTAGTCTGCTCTGAGCAAAAAGGCTGAGTAGCAGTGACCTAAACTTGACGCTCCCCTATCGATGCTTTCCTGGAGAGAAGGAGTTAGGTGCTGTTCTTTTCCTAAACAGCAAGGGAAGGTGTCATTTAGCGAAAGCTCTGCGCTGATCCAGCTGTATTTACCAAAACTTATTCCAGGATCTCTCCATATCCTTTCACAAGCCATTTCTTCTGCCTGCTTTTTCCGGTGTCATTGATTCCTCTCCTACATAATGTGACCTCTGTAATATACTTAAAGTACTGTTGTGAACTAACTGCGAAACCTGACCTAGTTCAAGAGGTCCCTGCTTATTGCAGAGGGGTTGGAACTAGACGACCTTTGAAGGTCCCTTCCAACCCAAACCATTCTGTGATTTTGTGATTCTAAATCCAGGGAATCCAAACGCTCTTGGTGCTGTCAGAAGTGTGAATACAGGCAGCAGGAGGAGGTGAGCTGCCAGAAGCTGGATGGGCATCTCCATCTCTTGTTTGCCTTGCTGCAGGAGTGAGTTAGGACGTTTTGTCTTCTTTGTCTTAGGACACTGTCTCAGGTTTGGCGTTTGCCCTAGAAGAAAGAAAATGGAAAAGGAGACAATTAGAACTTGCCTGTGGAACAGGTATCACCCCCTGGAGTAAGATGAGATCCACCACTAAGGGTTTGTGCTTCTGTGTCCAAGCCCCTTAAAAGCTGTAACTGAACCTAACGGCTGCTGGTACGTTGTGACCTTTCCACAAGTCCTCAGTGACTGGGGGCTTCCACGGCTTCTCTCGGGACCTTGTGGGCCCACCTTCCCCCACTCATCTAAACGCTGTTCCTTGCTTTCTACCATAGCAAGCAAGAGAAAACCCCTCAGTTAATGCCTGGTTTTCCTGAGCACTCAAGCTGCAGATTTTCAACGCGCTTGCGCCTTACAAGAGGTGTAGCTACCATTCACATGGGGGTGGTATAAGGGATCCAACCTCCTGATGATGATTAAAGAGCGAAACAATCCGAGTTTATCCCATTAGCGAACAGAAACATCAGTAGCTGCCTGAGGAGACTGAGTCTGTGAGAACTTTACACTGCACGTTCGCTGGCTCAACTAAAACTCAGCTTTTGGATAAGCCACGCTCACTGAGAACAGGCAACTCACTTGTCTAGGATTGCCTTGACGATGAGCTTCACCCAGGGAGCGGTGGGCTCCAGGCAGACTTCCCGGCCATCCGTCAGGGTAGCTCTGCAACAGAGAAAGGAGGAAGGGAAAAGGTCAGGTCTGTTTAGGGAAGTCCAAGGCAATTTCCCTTTTCCCTCCCGACATCATTCTAGGTGTACACTGACGTTTTCTTTACTTCAAGCTGCATCAGCTGAGGCTGTAGCCTAACATAAAGGTTTTGGGTTTTTTTTTTAAAGGTTTCATATCTTCTCGTACCTCTTTGAATGCATTAAACCATTTCAGGACTCTCATGCTTTCCAAAACCGATTCTTTCCCCCTGTCCCCTTTCTCCGGCTTGTGATGGTACTAAACTACAAGGGTGAAATCTTTCCATCCTCATTCACAAACTGCACTGCCCAGTCCACAGGAATTTTGCTACAACACAATTTCTGGAATTGTGACTGGATAATATGATCTGTGTGCTAAGGGAGTTTTTTCACTGACGAGTAGAACTGTGATCACTTGATTTGAGCTGGCCATCACATTCATGTTTTGATCAGTCAGCACGGCTCATGCATGAAATTAATTTCTCATCTGCTGGTGGAATTCAGAGTTTTAGAAGGTTCTTTGCTGTCTGATATGAGCTTGGGTTGCAATGTTTGCATGGGGTGCTTGAAAAGTGGAGCAGTCAAGACAAGACAGGCTTTCTACCACATAGCGTGCTGTCTGTCACAGCAACAGCGTTGCTGGTCTGCATTCTGAGCAGCTGCCGCAGGCTCACTCCATCTGTCAGTGAACTCTTACATCACCCTGAGTGCAAAATCGGTTTCCTTCTTGTTAAGTAACTGGGAGGATATTGCAAAAGCACTTACATGACTTCGACGTTCTTGCAGTGAGGTCCGCTGGGGATGAGGTTCACGTTGTGAATGAACTTGGGATGGATGAACTTGGAATGAGTGCCTATGCACTGGCACCAGAGCTCCATTGCTGAGCGTGGCAGGGCCTTACCTGCAAAACAAGAAGGAAAAATAAGGTGCACTCTTTTCCTCTTTCCACAGCAGAGAAACCTGGAATCACAGAATGGTTTGGGTTGGAAGGGACCTTAAGATCACCCAGTTCCAACCCCCGCCATGGGCAGGGACGCCTCACATTAGACCATGTCACCCAAGGCTCTGTCCAACCTGGCCTTGAACACTGCCAGGGAACGTTCACCACTTCTTTGGGCAGCCTCTGTCAGGGCGTGTTCTTTTGCTTGCAGTATTCGAGGAGTTTCTTGCTGCACAGCACAGTACCTCTGCCATCAGCATTTGCGCTTGCAATGAGGAGAGCTTTAGAAAGGATTTCTGTACCTTCTGTTCCCACGGCTGACATGAAGAGAAGGATCAGGACCACAGCCACAGCCTTGCCTGTCATGATGCAAGAGTGTTTCTCCCTCGTGTTCCACAGGCCTGGTGCTGTGACGAGGTGAGCCCCAAAGGTGGCCAGTGCTGGTGTCTTGGGACCTGCTGGGTTTTATACTGCCTCGGCCTCCCTGGCACACATGGGTCGTGCCAATGGAAACTCCAAACCTGTAACATGCTGCTGTGCCATGAGTCACGGGTGAGTGGGCAAGCCCCTTGCCCCAGATGACCATGAAACTGCTTTTCGTTAACGGAAAACACTTCCTTAATCAATGAAATAAATAAAAAAACACAGACTCTGTACACAGTTGCCCTGGACTTAGCTCTCTGGAATCTATAGGGGGGTCTGTAATACCCTTATTTCTTGTCATTATTTTCTTCTGTATCTTTGTCCTTTTGATGTTATTATTACCTTATTCCTTGTGACCTTCCACTTCTAGTAGAAGGCATTCATTCTGTGACTTTCCATCTGTGTCTTTGGGCTTTGATTTCATTAAAATGACACGACAGAAGTAGGAGCTAGCACTTTGTGGAAATGATAGGTACTAGAACTGGATTTTAATGGCCTCTCCTTGTCCTTATATGCAATTACATTCAAAAAAAAACAAAACACAACCCTTTCTTATATGCTAAGATAACTTCTGCAGAAACAGTATTTTTGGATACATTAAACCTAGCATCACTGAAACAAGCCACAGAATCCAGACTGACACATATTGAGAACTATTATTATGGTATGATAAATTGCTTTGCCTAATCAGATGGAGGTTTTCTGAGGATGACTGCTTCTTCTGAAGCCAAAGCTTCTTGGCTGTTTGCTGCTTTCAATTTGGGCAGAGGGAAATTGTAAAAGCTGCTGGAGGATTCTGCTTCTGCAATAAATTGGGGCACGTCTGCAAATTGAAATTTGATCCTCTAAAGAGATTTCTTCTGATTTTGATCAAATTAAAGGCAAAGTGAAGATGGGATCATGAAGAAGGTTTATTCGCATCAAGTCAGAGATGTACAGCCATTTTTATTAACAACAGAAAATGAAACTAAAACACAAGGCAATCCATTACTGTCATTCCACCCGGTAATGGAGACAGCCAAAGGAACAAAAAAAATGAATGTAGGTTTATCATGAAGGGCACAGGGGGCTCTGTGTGCCAGGCTGAATCCCCCACAACGTTACCGTACAGATGAGTGTCTGGAGTTTTACACAATTAGGTTTATAAATAGTCTTGGAGGACTTGCGGTAAACACAGCTGGAGCAGCAAATGTGAGCAGGTAAGCCCTTAATTACAGCCCTCCTGTGTCAAGGCAGAGGTCTGACCACTGAGTATCTTCTCTTCAGTCATGACCACCAGCAGATGTATGGGGAAAGATCAAGTGTCTTTGAGACTTACCCATAGTGTCCCACTCAAGCCTGTTTTCATTTGATGCCTCCTGATTCTTTTACAGGTAATCAAGAAGCAGATATCGATCCTTATCGCTGAGTTCCACCTCCTTCAGAATTCTGTAGACCTTCATCGCATCTCCAGGCTGATATCTCTTTACAGAATGTCATGTTGCCTGATCGTAGCCAGGTTGTTCATTCCTGTCTCCGGACTTTTCTTTCCCCTTGGCACACTATTTCCATGTACAGCCAACTGTTCACAGAAATGCAAACTAGCCTATCAATGGAAATGCCTTCTGGCCTGTGAACAAGGACAATAGGGAAGTATGCACTGCTATGCCTGAGGAGAGTTTCCAAATGAACACAAGAAACTGGTATTTGTCTTTGCTTTCATTAATGATGAAATTATTGGAGCTAAAATTCCTGCTTAGGTGTCGTACATCTCTCATAGATGACACTACGATTACACTATAACGAATCTTGATATGGAGTAGTGGGAACAACTGAGCAGAGCTGGGGAAGCCATGTTTTGATGTGTAATTTGAGAGGTAGTGAGTGGAAAATCTGGCCCATCAACAAAGGTAACATTCCTTCTGTGGTTACAGAGGGAAGTCAGAAAGGATGAACTTTAAACGAGAAGTTCACATGTTCTGTAGTAAACCTTGTGACCTGGGTGAAAGAGAGGAGCTCCCATTTTGATTTAGTCGCAAGGAGCTAGTTTTGGAGATGTGAAGTGGGTGAATGAAAAGCTGCTGAGTTTCTAATGCATTCAGTCTCTGAATGCACAATTCCTAAGCCTTAAATAGAAGTACGGTAACAACGTCTGGAAGCCTCCAGCAGAACAAACACCTTTTTTCTCACACGGATCATACATACAGGTATCTTCCTAAGGCACTCAGTTAAGAGTTTTGCAGATCGTCTGCTATATGCTTCTCCCCAGCTTTCCTGACCTGTGAGTGACCTGGAATTTACATTTCCATATGCTCCCATAAGCAGTGGGGAATTTCCTTCCCCTGGAGAATCCTTTGCACTGCTCTGTCCTCATCTCCTCAACGATTGCTCACCGGTGTCTTTAGAAACGCTGCCTCATGCCTAGATTTTTCAATCCAAACATGGAAAAGGTCATTTAGGAGTAGCCGAGCAGCTGAGTCGGTGAACGTGACAACTCATGTTGGGGTTTTTTTGAAGGATTATTAGGTTCAGCAGGAAAGGGTAGTCCTGCCTGAGCTTTAAATCGCCTTCAGGCAAATTCTTCCTCTTATTTTCCTACACTTCTGTGACCCTGTATGCCAAATCTATGCATAGTCTTAATCTGCAAAGGGGAAATGGGTCAACTTCTTTGTGTCTTTTTTGGGCAGTCTAGGTCTTCAGTGTCATCTGTATTTTGGTGGTGAGAATGTTTCTATACTGAACCTTCCCTGAGACAACCTGACTGACTTGAGAGGGCTGAACAGAGAACTTACAAATACCACAGACAGATGCCTTTTCCTCCTATTTCTTAATTAGGTGGCCACAACCCTTCCCAAGATTTGAAGTGTGCATAGCAAACTGAGCGACTTCTATGTGAAAGAGATGGGCTGAACGGCTGTAAACAGAAATGCAGCCGTGAAGTGCAGGTTAAGTACCTATCTGAGCTTCAGCAGTGCCTGGGTCAGCCCCCTACAGAAACAGTCTTTCTCTTTTGTTCAGTTAATATACAGTTCTGAAAGCTTAACTCATTGGGATGAGCCCTTCCTCTTGGGAAAGGCTCACTAAATTTGTGTGGTTGCCTCTGCCCCTCCTCCTGAAGGACACACTGGGTATTTACTGCCACTAACAGGAATGGAAATTGCATCCATTCATTTCTAGACTGAGTGCTGAGCATGGAGTGAAGCGTGTTTTCTGGACCAGTCCTGCACTGAGCAGGTGTTACAAAGGTCACTGTGCGAGTGCTTCAACAAAGGAGTGTTAATTAGTCACACCATTGCACAAAACCTTCTGAGAACAAGGATGAGAACCTGAGCTTTGCTGTACCACAGAGCTACTTCCTCACAGTGCAGGAGATGATGATCCCTATTCCTGTGTTGTCCATGCGGCCCATGGTTCTTGCTGTAGTTGCAACACCTATGCTGGTGAACACTTTTTTCCACTTCCACTGCTGATGAAATCTCTGGTTTAGACGCAGAAGAAGCACCTCCGAGCTGTGTTGCACGCACCCCCGGCACGTGGGTCTCCTTGCAGCACAACTGAGCATCCAGCAGTACACAGATCTATAGCACATCTAAGCCATCACTCTCACTTCCTTCTCCCTCCGCTGAGTTTTCTGTTAGCCAGCTTAACTTCCCTCCTTTCCCTTAGCTGTTCTGGGTCCTAGTGCTATGCATTTAACACTCCCCCCTTTAGCCGGACCTCCAAAAGTCATTAATGGTGGTGCTGAGCATTGCTTCAGCAAAACCCTGGAGCTTTTGGGGGGGTTAAGCATTAAGGAATCCCATTCCTGTTGTTCTGCCAGGTAAAGGATACAGTCATAGGAACAAAGCAGAACATCTAAGGTTGACTCAGAACTTTATTCAGAGTTTTCAGCAGTCAGAAGGAATCCAAGATTGCAGTCCTTCCTTTCTGAGCCCTTTGGCCCATTCACAATACAATCGAAAGCCGTCTACTGGTTGGGTTTGTTGGAAAATATCTGCCTTTGTATATTCCTGGGGTTTCCCCGTGGATGTAGTAACTGCATAGGAAATGAAGTCATCTCCAGAAAGGGAAGCAGTATTAGGAAAAAAAACAAAAAGAAGAAAAGAAAGAAAATGGACAGGATGCTGCCTGAAGCATGACCAGATGTTCACACTACCAACAGGCAGCAACTTTTCCAAATAAAAAGTGACCACTGCGGTTTAATTGCATTAGCTTCATTTTTAAGGCAAAAAGATAATCGCAGCAGTAGGATTAATCAGGGGCTTTCCAGTATTTCAGCTGATATCACCACATGTTGTCTTTCATATCAAACACATACCTTTTTTCATTAACCATCTGAAGAAACTGAAAACCAGTTACAACAGAGGAACCAAATGGCTCTAAAATATTTTCTTTGAAGTATCTAGGCCAGGACTTAAAGGACTGAGCAGAAACAGGAGCTGAAAATGAGGACAGGACTAAAGAAGCTACTCGAGGAGTAGCACTTGCTCACACTCCCTGCCCTCTCTTTTGCGGTTTCTATCCCCTCAGCTGTGCCTGAACTACAAGTCTGTTTGCTAGGCAGCATTTATCTCCCTGAGGGAGGGGGATAAAATAATCTCCAGTTTTCCAAAGCCGTTGTATTTTGCCAACCAGAATTAACAACCCTGTGGTACATGGACAGTACAAAGAAAATCAGTGGAGTCACACTTTGGCATTGGGTCTACAACTGCAGAGAACAAGGTCCCGAGCTCAGAGGCAGGGA